CTCTCTCCATACTGCTGGTGTTATTGGAATAAATGCTCATATATGATCCAGCCTTGCCTCTGCTTAATTTGGCTCAAGCAGTGACAGGCAGCCCCATACCCATTTTGTGTCCCTGTCCCTGCCTCCAGCCCCTCCCCCCCATCTTAAGCTCTTGAGGCATAAGCATTGTATACTCACTTCTGTACCCACCCATTGCCCAAGGCATTGAGCCTGACACTCCAGGGGTGTTTGATTAATACCTGCTGCACTGAACTGAACCAGGAATACACTGTAATTGCTATTTAAGGCATGTGTCCCGGAAGCCACCACAATTTCTGTATTTTCTCTTTTGTAATCATCAAGCATAATTACAAAAGGCAGGAGAAAATAGAGGATGACGTTAGCAGAGCAAAAAAACTGAGCCAGAGGAATATGGTATAAACTCTGCCACATTGCCCCAAACATGGGCTCTCCAGTAGTCCTGACTCGTGAAATTGTCCTCCTTGGATAATGGCTGGCTATGGTATTGCACCCATGAGAAGTTGGGTGCCTGGTTTCTATGCCATAGGACTCCTCCCAGGCTTCTGGGGACCTCGGCGTCCAAAGAGCCCTTTGGATTCAAATGAGGATGAGGCTGGTTGTAGGACCAGCCCACAGGAACCCGTCTCTCCAGCAAGCATCCAACTGGCTTAGAGGTCCAGCTTGCGAGTGAACCTGTCAATCTAGGAGCAACCAGACTCTCCTTCCTCTCGAAGGTGTGTTAGGTTATTTCCTGAGATAATATCTATGACTTGTGGATTCTAAAACAAACAAAAAAACCCACCTCCTTTTTTTTTTTTTTTTTAACATCTGGTCTACTCTATTGTACTCCCCGCTACCCCCTCTTGAAATGGTTTATATCTGATAATCTCATGGGTGATTCATGCATTCCTGTGAAAGACCTTTATCTATTTTGTGGTCACATTCTACTCTCTCCCCATCTTGCTACCTCAGCAAATATTTGGCCTCCAAGGCACTGAAGGAATGACAAGTACCCTCACCCCAACTTATACAGTTTGTAGAGGCTCTGGAATCCTGTGCTCGAAGGACACACCTCTTCCTTAGGTTTAACATCGATGTCTGGAAATAATACCTCTTTGTAATAACCAGTTTCACAACTCCCATAAATACCTTCTGGTTCATTATACAATACTAGAAAGCCTTCTCCCCAGGTGTAGATGAAATCTGACCGTCTCCCCCAGGAACAATTTGAAGGCAGAGAAAGGGATAGACCTCTGGGGAAAACAAGCCAGTCACCCCTCACCCCAACTTATACAGTTTGGAGAGGCTCTGGAATCCTGTGCTCGAAGTACACACCTCTTCCTTAGGTTTAACATCGATGTCTAGAAATAATACCTCTTTGTAATAACCAGTTTCACAACTCCCATAAATACCTTCTTGGTTCATTATACAATCATAGAAAGCCTTCTCCCCAGGTGTAGATGAAATCTGACCGTCTCCCCCACAGCCAATTTGAAGGCAGAGAAAGGGATAGACCTCTGGGGAAAACAAGCCAGTCATCCTGGACTTTCTAGACCTGTCACAAGGCTGGAACTCCCAGTTTGATGAACCCTGCATCCAGAATGCTAAGTCTGAGTAACTGGGACTCCCTGACTATCCTCAGCCTGCTCCTCACCTCTGCTTCTAACACTTGTGTTACCCTGAACTCTATTCTCCATGATTCCTAACCACCGGGCCTGCCTGCCAGCCGTGTACCCTTCCCCCCTAACTTCTGTGGAGCTGTAACTCTCACCTCTCCTTCCCCACTCCAACAAGGACTGCAAAGTTTACTTTTGTCTTCAAGTAGTTAAGACATATTTGAAGAATGTTATGATATTTCTTTCTTTTAAAAAAATATATTTTTTTTGATTTCAGAGAGGAAGGAAGAGGGAGAGAGAGATAGAAACATCAATGAGAGAATCATTGATCGGCCGGCTCCTGCAGAGCCCCCCACTGGGGATCGAGCCCGCAACCCAGGCACATGCCCCTGACCGGAATCGAACTCGGGACCCTTCAGTCCACAGGCCGATGCTCCATCCACTGAGTCAAACCAGCCAGTGCTATGATATTTCTTAAAATGAAAGTGGTCTGCAGTGTTGAAAGGCTGGGTCAGGAATCTCTGTCTGTAATACCTCAGATGCTTCTCATAATCCTCACTGGGAGAATAAAGGCAAAGACAGGCCAGCTTGTTTGTGAAAGGAAAGAACACTTACATAGAGAATGTTAAAGAGGCCACACAGCCACTAAAAAAGGCCCAGCTGCCTATTGGTGCAGGATGCGAGCAAAACCCCAGAAAACACACAAAGATGACCTCGTCTTCTAGGGTCTTCAAACATGGGGAGTACAATCTTTTCACAGCAACACTGAGGATTTTTATTCTTGGAATCTCAAAATGTTTTAGGTTTGTGAGGATCTTTAGTCTCCTTTCTCAGTATTTTCCTCATAGACAACAGATGTTCCCTGGGGCCTGGGCAGAGGCTGTACAGGGGGAGATAGAATCTGTCTGT